TACTATACATATATATATATATATATATATATATATATATATATATATATATAATATTTTTTTAGACAAATAATTATTCATTTCTTAATTATTGTCTTCTCAATTTTAACTAAATTATTGAAGATTTTATTTTATCATAGATAAATTTAATTTCTTTATATATTAATATCTATATTTAAATATAGTAATATGGGTTAATTATATGTACACTATAATATATAGGGATGAACAGTTTTTTATAAAAGCAAGAAAATTTACACTTAACACACGATGATGAAATAATTTATTTGAAACCAAATTAATTAGCATCTAAATTATTACGGTGATAATTTTTAATTTATTTTTGAAATATTTTGAATATAAATATTTACTTATCCTGCTTATTCTCTGCGAATTAATTCATTTTTTTGAATGTTTTATTTATTTTAACATATAAATTATGAATAAAATACAATAAATATGGATGAACAATTCCATGGATAAACAAAAAGAAATACTCATAATATGAACAATTTACCTTAAATATTATATTAACATTTGAATTATTATGAATAATTTATGCTTTATCATAATTTTAATACATTTTAATTTATTGTTAAAGTATTTTTAATATGAATTTACTTTTCTTGTTTAATATCTACTCATTTAACTAATATTATCCTATGGACCACTATATTCAGTCTAACGATGGAATTGGTTAGGGATAAAGTAATATATAGAAAGTCTTAGATTTTAACCTTTTGTGGTTATTGTTATTTTTATCGATTAAAAAAAATTAAGTTATCTCATTCATAAATTTTCTACATTTCCGTGCTTGGGTACTAAAAATAATACTACTTTTATTCTTATTTATAAGATTTATTTATCTAATTTATTAAGATTAAAAATGTAATTAATTTAATTAATAATAAATTTATCCTATTTATATAATTAATGTATTTTATCAAATCAATTATATAAAGAATTTCTAATTAATATATTTTATTAATTTAAGATAATACATTTTAATTAAAAGTATTTTAGTCTAAAATTAAATAATATATGAAATAACATGAATTGAATCTTATATAAAATGAAAAAATAATTGTTTTAAGTTAGATCTTACAAATAAGTATATGATAATATTATACAATAATCAATTTTTCTTTTTGGTATGTAAAATTATCAGTTTTCTATAATTGAGCTACAATATAAAAAAAAAAAGTATTTTTTTATCAATCAAATTATATTAATTAAGTAATCACTTCCGATATTATACACGATCTAGATATGATAAAATTTAAAATTTAGCCAACTCAAACTTCTATTGAGTTAACCTCACACAGATCTATTGGGTAGCTCCCGCGATCATGTTGCCATGAAAACCTTTGGGATCACTATTTTTATAGCCACTTTAAGGTGTTAGACATGATATTATAATCATTCTCATGGATAAAAACAAATAAAATATTAGAACCAATCAAATTCGAAACTTTAATCTTGATCATTAATGAAACTCGTTTCACTAAACTAAAGATGCAAATTGATTACATGTTAAACAAAATTGAATAATTTCTCTGCAAAGTGCAATAAAATGAATACATTAGATTAAAAAAGGAATAACTTTTCTGCAAAATGCATGCATGAATCGGCAGAAGAGGGTTTATTTGAAGGGAAAGCAAGAATGATCCATTTAGGTTCATAATTAGTTAATCCATTTAGGTTCATTAGTTGTTCATTCCTGTTGCATTCTTCACAGAATCAGCAGCTCCTTGTGCTTTTGCCTTCATTTGCTGCCCCGCCTATATACACAACATAATAATATAACTCATTATTACTTTCAAGGGTCCAATTTAAATTTATTAATAAAGGTAAATATGGCTCAATTGACATCATTCTCAATCTATTTGATTAGTACAAAAGTTGAAAAATTAAATATATTGGAACCTCTTGCATGGATTCTTGAGCAGATTGAGCAGCATTGCTAGCCTTGTCCATCATGGTGCTAGCCTTTTCCTATGTAGCACAAAAAGAATTTAATTCGGCTAGATTCATGTCTCTCTCATAAGAGAAATATTGTAATGAAGCTCATATATATATATTAAAAAAAAAAAAAAAGTTAAAGGCAAACCTGAGCTTGGCCCTTGGCCTGTCCAGCATTGTAGCTCATGTTTTGGGAGTCCATCTTGATTAATTCTTGTATTAAACGAATGAAAGTGAAAATCTCAAGTGTTGTTTTACCTTTTCGTATGCTTATTTTCTCACTCTTTTGATTGTAACTTATATAGTTTCTCAATGTGTTACAACATTCGACACGTGTTTCTTCTCATGTTTTCATACACAAATTTTGATTCACATTTTCCTCCTTCACTTGCGTTTTCAAGGGCACATGTCCTGCCATTCTTGGAAAGCAATTCCCTCACTTGTTGAGCAGCAAATATTCATATGGAGGAGATTCATTCATTATTTCAATCTCACCAAAGTTTGGATCAGTTCTTGTCTTATTTGCTAATAATACGGATACCTTACTTACATCTTATTATTTATCTTTTTAATAACAAACATTTCTATTTGGCACAATAACTATTTTTCTTTTCTATCGGATCAATCAATTTATATAGTAGTAAAGTTACGACTTCGAATTTTGGTTAGGAACTAATCTTTAATTTTTGGTCAAACAGTTTATTTATATTTAAGATTCTAAAAATGAGTTGTATCTCCTTATAAAAGAAATATATTAACCTAAGTGGAAAAGCCTATATATTATTTTGCGCTTAATTCGATAAGCCCACAATAATTAAACTAACAAACAAATAAAGTTAGTTTGAATCGGTATGTAAATTTAGGTATAAACTTTACTGTTACCTCCAGCTCATCGTCCTTATTGGCAGTTTTCCTTTTCAAAATTTTTGTTAAACATATCCTCAAAGGACCAGAATTTTGATTCTACTCAGGCCTATCATATTGGTTGTTTCTCTAAGGAAGTATAGTTGCATCGACCAACAATTCAGGTGAGCCAAGTGCCCAATTTTATGCGGAACTCTACTTGGAGCAAGAATTTCCATTTCATTGTTGTATGTATATTACCTTTTATATGTATAGGTTGGAAGGTAGGGGTAGGTTAAGTGATTTGCTTATCATTGGTCTATATTTTCATCTCTTAAATTGGATCTTCAGGAAATTGATTAGTGGTTCTGTTGTGTAAGCTTCGTGTTCATTGATAGATTTTTTTTGGATACCAGAAACATGAAGTTTTCGTCACTGATCATTGATAGATTTTTTTTGGATACCAGAAACAAGAAGTTTTACTCTTTAAAGTCTTTCTCATTATAAATCCTTTTTGTTTTACATTGCAGGAGTATGCAGCGACAACTCTACAGTATTTTCTTGGAAACCAAACTGAAACGTGTCTGTATTCTCTTTTGGTACTGTAATTTTCTTTCTTTTTTCAAATCGTGGCACTTCTTTTGATTAGAAGGTAAATATTCCAATAAATTATATCCACACACGACTCTTACTAATTAAAATTAGAAACAGTACTTGATATGTATTTAACTTTGAGCGTTTCTATTGCTTCATTTTCTTTGAGAACGAGTTCATTGTGTTGAAACTTGAAAAAATAAAAAGGTAAATTTTCATAAGCAATATGCCACCACTTATGCACAACAATTATTGTTTCCATTTTTTACATGCTCTTTCGATGCAACATCCTCGCCTTCGTGGGCGGCGGCTCCGAACAAGGTGATGGTCTGGGATGACCACCAGTCCCGGTGCATTGACGAGCTCTCCTTCCGGTCGGAGGTGAAGGGCGTCCGTCTCTGGCGTGACCGCATCGCGGTGGTCCTGGCCCACAAGATTGAGACTATTGCTAACCCTAAGGGCCTCTGCAACCTCTCTCACGTTTCCGCCATGGTGTTGGTGTGCCCTGGCCTGTAGAAGGGCCAGGTTAGGGTTGAGCATTACGCCTCCAAGAGGACCCTTCGCCCTCACTCACGATGGACACTTGCTTGCCACCGCCAGCTCCAAGGGCACCCTCGTTAGGCTCTTCAACACCCTCGATGGTTCCTTGCTCCAAGAGGTCTATTCCATCTCATTCTTTCTTGTTTTTCACTTGGGACAAAACTTAAAATGCTTTCTTCCTTGCATACAAGGATTTGTTTTAGATTTTGCATACCTAATTAACAAACATGACATTTTAGTTCTTTTTCCACATAACTCTGCCCCTAATTTGCACAAATCCAAAGTGATTTCAGATTCTATTCAAAGTGTGTTATCCTAGCTAAAGAAGATTTAATTTCTAACTTGACTGTGCCTGGATATGACTTTTACCCAAAACTGCTTACAGGGCATAAGCTAAGCTCTCTAAGCAAATTTGATTTCCATGTATTTTCTGTTTCATGATAGTTTGAACCTTTAATTAGTGTTAGAAGCTATTGTTAATAATTGTGAATGTTCCTGGTTATTATGGATTCATTTTTATAGTTGTAACCATGATTAATTTGTTTTCTTTGACATTTTGGTCAATAAAGTATACTCTACTATTTTTGTCCAAGATTGTTTAAAACTTTTGACAACTGAGTATTATTCGCATGATAGCAAGTAATTAATTAATAAGATTGTTTAATGTGAGAGCTCATCTCATAAATTTAACCATGAAACTTATTGAAATAAACTAAAGTAACTTATTTTGGTAAGCTTAACCAAGAAATTAATTAATAAGAAAGTAACTTATGCAGTTGATTTTTCAATAGATCAGATTTTCGTTGCATCATAGTAACTTGTATTGTTATATGTGGATGTTTGGTTGATATCCTTTTATTTTTTTGTGGATTTTTAGGTTCCGTTTAAAAAAGAAAATGGTCAAATGGTTACAGTCCCACTTTTCCACTGGTAGCTTTGTGTTGGGAATCTTGTGATGATGGTAGCTTTGGTGCCCAGCCCATGGCTGTTTCAAGGGAGTTTCTATTTCTGATTTAATAGAGACAGATGGTGTTCTCATACTTTTTACTTGATTTTGGAGAATGTCTTATTCCCTAGTTGTTCTTCACTTATTTTCTCTCGAATGTGTATATGACTTGTTTTTTAATGATAATAATAAGGAGACTTAAATTTGTTATTTCTTAATAAATTTGCTTGAACTTTACATTTACATATTCCAGTTTTATAGTTCCTTAATACATCTGGCTTAGTGTATTTAACTGTGCGCTACTTAACAAAGCAAAAGCTATGTGCATGCAAGGGGTTTTTCTATTCATCATGTGTTTAAACATATCACGGTAACAGTCTTTGTTGCTTATTATTTTCATTTGATTCTTTTAGTTACTCTTTAAAGTCTTTCTTATTATAGATCCTTTTTGTTTTACATTGCAGGAGTATGCAGCGATAGCTTTGCAGTATTTTCTTGGGAACCAAACTGAAACGTGTCTGTATTCTGTTTTGGTACTGTAATTTTCTTTATTTTTTCAAATCGTGGAACTTCTTTTGATTAGAAGGTATTAATTCTAGATGTACACTAGGTTTTCTTATATTTCTGCCTTTTTTTTGTAGCACTGGATTTGCAGCTACGAGACTCTATTTTCAAAATCATGCAGGTTCAATTTGCAGCTTCTAGAACTTTAGATTTTCTTATCCTTTGGTCAAATTACTAAACTCAATTTGTTGGTGGTGCAGCAAATGTTCACGGCTACTTGCCATGGATAAACAATCAACTTTACTGTTACCTCCAGTTCATCGTCCTTATTGGCAGTTTTCCTTTTCAAAATTTTTGTTAAACATATCCTCAAAGGACCAGAATTTTGATTCTACTCAGGCCTATCATATTGGTTGTTTCTCTAAGGAAGTATAGTTGCATCGACCAACAATTCAGGTGAGCCAATATATATATATATATATATCTTTAGTTGAAGAGTGGTAGTTGTATATTTTTTAACTCACCTTTTAAATACTTTTTTTTTTATTATTGATAAAAAATTACTAAAAATTACAAAATTATGAGTAAGACTCGTTAATCTAGAAGTAAGACTACAATTTTGTAATTTCTATTAAATCTTACCTAATAATAAAGAGTGTCTTCAAAAGAACACGTTTCTAACATTTCTTAGTTTGAGCATTGGATTTATATTTTGAAATCTAATACTTTGTTATCTAAACTAGTGAGTTAATATGAACATTCTCTGTATTTTTTTTTCCTTAAGTGGAATAATTTGGCAAGCGTATACTAAATTAAATCGTACACACACTAAGTAAAATGAACAGTATTCATGTATCATATCTTAAAAGACTCACATGTAATACAAATTCAATTTTTTGATATAAAAGTTTAAAAACAATATTTGATTGTTGAGAAAATTAAAGTAAAAAACTTCAATTTAAAGTAAAACAATAAAGAAATATTTTAGGGTTTTTAAATTAAATAAAATTGTAGAAAATTATAATGAATAAAAATTTTAAAAGTTTGATTTCACTAACTTTCTTCACACCTATCAATCAAATTAAGTTTTAATTCTTATTAATTTAATGACCAATAAATATATTTTAATCATAATTTTTTAGGTGTGAAATTTTAAATTCTTTAATTAAAATTTCAATTTTTTAAAATTAATTAAACAATTTACATTAAGATCTTACATGTAAGCAGGAA